AGGGGAGAGGGCTGCGCGGAGCCTGCAGTGCGGGATGAGGGGGCCGGGGGCAGAGATGGGGCTGAAATGCCAACGGCAGAGCAAAAATCAGCCATAAGAGGCTTTAGTAGCAAAGGGTCCTGGCCAAGGACACCCATTTACAAGGGAGGAGCAGCCAGTGTTTGGAGCTGGCCACGCTCCATTGCCAGTCAGTGCACTGAGGGCAGAGAGCTCAGCTGAGAAGCTGTAATAGGATGGGCATATGAGAGGCAAGAGCAGGCCCAATCTGGGAACGTGTTTAGGACCTGCTGCTCTACAGGCTGTTCCATGGTAAATCTTAGCGCATAAGCAAATACACTGACACGGGGCACCTCTACCTCCCCGAAGACAAGGAGCAAATTTTAGCCACTCGATGAGAAAGCCAGCAAAGCAACTTCGGCTGGTCCCTCAGTGGCAGCCAACAGCACAGTCCTACCCTGACAAGCGACTCAACAAGACCACCACCTGCTCACTCCAATCCAGCCTCCTGCGGGTGTCAGCGCACGTGACAGGCGCCTCAGGTAAACCACATGGAAGCGCTTTACTGATCCAGAGCATCAACTCCCTTCCCGCTGCCTCCGATCCCTGCCCAGCAAACACTGCTGAGGAGTCTGTTCCCGATGGAAACGTAGGGAACAATCGGACTGATGCACAGTCATCCACCAGCGCGGCCCAGCTGTAATGCTCAGCTTGATTTGGCCGGCAGCACCTTTAGAAATGGGGGGGTCAGAGGAAATGGAAGGAGTGCAGCTTGGCGGAGGATCCTCAGCTGAGCGTGCAGGTGGGAGAGGGAGATCTCTGTTCACGCAGACTCAGGAAAGCACTTGAGCACGTGCTGCGTTTTCATTGAAGCCCAGGGGCCTGAACAGGGATGGATTCAGACGTACCTGGGCCCTGGAGCGGCACTTCTCAGCACACTGGAGGGACCAAGCAGCCAGAGACAAGCCAGCAGGCGGAGGCTGCTGCATTTACAGTCACTATTGAGAGCAGGATGGCTTCTGCTGCATTGCCGAGTGAATAGGGTTGGAGCCTCCCCACACCGCCTTGTGTCCAGCCCAAGTTACCTGGGGGAGGGCATTTTGTCCTCTCCTGCTGAGCCTTCCCCCCACTCCACATCCAGCAGCTTTCCCTGGCAGCAGGGCCGGGCAGCAAGTGGGAAGGAGCCAGGTCTCACAGGGCTGTAGCTGGCTGCTCAGAGAGAACCTGGCTGGGGAGGGGACAGCAGTCTGCTCCCTGCCTGGGCTGTTCCCGGTGCCGGGGGGCTCTCTGGCTCACTGTGTCTCTGTCCCCAGCAGCCTGGCTCAGGCAGCACACAGCCTATTGCTTAGGGTCGCCAACTTTCTATTGGCATAAAACCCAACACCCTAGCCCCGCCCCTTCCCCATGGCCCCGCCCCCACTCACTACATTCCCCCTCCCTCCCTTTTGCTGGGGGAGAGGGTGAGGGAGGTGAGGTCTCTACATAGGGTGCAGGCTCTGGGATGAGGGGTTCAGGGTGGGGGC